ATTCATCCTTGAACTCTCCAGCTCTTGGCTCCCACTGCTCTTTCTGCTATATCCATAGTTTTGCCTTTTCCAAAATGGCACAGTTATACAGTATGTAGCCTTTACAAACATTTCCCACTCCTTTGATCCTCTAGCTGCCAAGGGTGTGACCACTGGGTTGTACCAGAAGACCATGGTTAGTTTTGTAAGAACTTGCCATACTGTCTTCTCAAGGGACCATGCCACTCCGCATTCCCACCAGCAATGAGTGTAAGCTTTCACTGCTCCACACTGTCACCAGAATTTTGGGTTGTCACATATCAGCACCGGCATTTCATTGTTATTTTAGTCTGCATTTCCCTGATGATACCATATGGAACATCTTCTCATTCATTTATCTTACTTTCTTCTTCCAGTCTCAACACCACCCCCATCAAGACTCAATGTGAGTTTCATCTCTGTTCTCTGATGATCAAGTAAGAGAAGTTGTTGGCTGGTCTTTCTTACTTTGTAGGCCAAGACACAGAGAAGCATATGGGAGACGAAGACTGGAGCCTAAATCTCCTGGCCCTTGACCAGGGCCATCCCACTGTCCCCATTTCCCTTTACACCAGAGGAGGTTTCCTTCCAATGCCCTCCCCTTTCCAACAAATCAGTTCAATGTCCTGAAGCTCTCTGTAGCCTTCCCAGAGGCCCAGTGTACAGTGTACTGCCACAATACTACTAACCTTGTGACGCACAGTGTGTCCCATGTCAATTCCTGAAGCTCCAACCCCACCTCTGTTCATCTATGCAAGGGACTGACACAAGGGCCCAGAGGGACTGGGATACCATGTGGCCCCTCTTGGGACCACTCCAGACGTGTGCTTGGTTCACAAGCCAACTGTCCAAAGCATTTTGTTCTTCAGGGAACAGAACTGAATCTGGTCTACTCAGAAATGCCTTCAGAATATCCTCAAGCCCTGTACCTGTTTTGTCCTTGTAGAGTAGGGGGTACCAAGATGGGGACATGGCAACACTGAGTGACAGTGAATCTTGACATGAAGCCTTGTCACCAGCCATCAACTTTGTCCACCACAACCTGTTAGTCTAATCAAGACACAGACAGGTAATGCTCAAAGGATTACTTTCCCCTCTATTCACAAAAGGCAGGTGATGGAATCTGACAGGAAACTACAGCATATCCCCAAAATGCTGTATGTCAACCCACAGATGACTGAGACACAAAGTGACAAGAGCTGGCAGCCTTCTGCTTGGCAGGTGACAATATTCAGCTGACATTCAGCATTTCTGCTAATAGCTAAATACCAAGCAATTTGAGCCGTATGCCAGGGAAGAAAATGTCTTTTCTTGATCCAGTCAGTGTTTTTCGTAAATTACAGCACAGGATTCCTTATCATGAGTTGATTTTATGAAGGAAGTTCTACACTATACAACAATGTGCTAGTATGAAATGGATTTTTATTTTGTAAGAGGTAAATATGTCTGAGATGGATTTCTTATCTCACTGGGACACCCAGGCATCCATACTAAGCTGATTTAGTTCTGGGCAAAAGAAGAAAAACAAATACAAGTTTGAAGGTCACCCTTGTTTGACTTTGCTTAAAATTCCAACTCCTGTGCCCTCATCCTCCACCATAAAAGCCAGGGATTGCTCTGGAAAAAGGAAACACATTCTCCATGCAAAGGAGGAAACTGGAGAGGGTCAACCCGGACACACACAGTAGCGAGGCCCTGGCCTGAGAAGACCCATCTCTCAGGATGCCGGAGTACCCAAAAGGGTTCCACAGATCTCACAGACACTTGGTGACCTGCCTGCTGAATCTAGGTATACCATGGGGTCTTGGGAGCTTCGGGACAGCCTGAAAGTCTGAACAAGAGACATAGTTCGGGGTGACTCATCTCTCTTCAGACAGAACCTGAGGTGAAGTCCCCTTTCCCTGGCTCTAGGAGGGTCCCACCTCAGGTCCGGCTTAGAGGTGCTCAATGCAGGTATCCTCACCTCTGACCAGTGAAAACTCGTGCCCCTTTATATACTCCTAGTTTAAAGCCAAATCCTTTGATTATAGTTTTTAAAAACAGAAGACGTGACTTCTGGCCTATAGTAAATACTGATGTTTTAAAATCAAACCCTTTCATTTCTCGTTTCCATGCCCATGTATGCAGCTCTAGCACTCCGCACCACAGCCTTGTGTCAAACTCTCTCCCAAGACTATACCGAGGCCACTTGGGCCACCAGCCTGCCCGCTTGTTACCTTGAAGCTACACAGGCAGGAAATCCAGGACAGCTGAGAACCCTACCTGCGTGAGAAGGACTGTCTCTGCCACCCAGCATGAACATGGCCACTGCCCCACTTCCACTTCCGGCAGACACGTGGTGGCCCTTTGTGCTTTGCAAAGTAGTCTTTCCTGAGTTGGAGTCCTCCTCTGACATGAAGGTTGGCCCGAGAAATGTGCTTTTTCTCTGAAAGTCTTTTGTGTTCACCCTAGCCTACTCCCTTACAACAAAAAGCTTTTAAATGTATTTAACAAAAAAGCTTGTCAATATCTACTGGATTATTCTTCCATGATGTCATGATGTTATAATTATTTAAAAGCATGAATGTGATAAATTGATAATTGTCACATATGAATGTAAAATGTTATTAAGTCGCCCCTCTTTTTTTTTGGTCTTTTTCGCTTTTGTCAGTACCGGGGATCGAACTCACGACTGCCTGCTTGCAAGGCAGGCACTTAAGCTGCTGAGCTAAACCCCCAGTCCCTAAGTTGCCCCTCTTAATGAATAGAGACTTTTTTCCAACCAGTGTCCCTCTTTGAATGAAAATGACCTGCTCCATTGAACAGGTTCAGTCTCTGCTATATGGAAGTTTAATTTTATAGAAGTGTTGGAAAATTTTGCATGAACTTGAAGATAAGAAAGCATATTCTTGCAGGGTCCTTCTCTTGTGAACTCCTACATAATAGCTCCCAAATAAGGTGATGTGAAATTAAAAACTATTTTAATGCTTTATCAGCTGTCAAGTCAATTGGGTTTTCATTCAAGTGTTTTGAGAGCAAAGGATTATGGACCACATGACTAACAATAGGATTTGTTATCCTGTCATTCTTAAATTTCTGTGTTTACCAAAGAGATTGTTCCCCACTTATCAAGGGACTATATTTACCCATGATTCTTTGTCGCTTTGTTCAACCTTAAGTCTGAGGGGGTTGAGTACATTGAAATGTTAATTTCAATGGTTTTTAAACAAATTTAATGTTTTTTGATGCACCATTTTACACGTAATTATTTTAAATGTATTTTCACTGAAACCTTGAGGTTGCAGATTTAGTTCATTCTATTTATGGTGACTGTCCTCCATGTACCCTAATCCCTCTTGGCAGACTAGTGAACCAAATAAGACACATTTTCTGTCAGAAAATGCCTGACCTACTTTTTCAGTTGAAACAAAATGCTAGCATGCTTTCCCCGGGATATTAAAAAAGAAAACCACTGAGAAATAAATTATACATTTTAGAAGATAAATTATTGAAGGCAATAAAGTCGGGCCTTTAAACATGTAGGTCTAATATAATTAACTGACCCATTTTATAATGTAATAAAAGAAAATGAGACTTAATTTGTAACAATTTAATGAAACGTACGTAAATGTTCATGTTATATACTAACTGAAGAGAATGGTAAAAGATATGTTTATTGCTTTCAGGTGCTAAACACTAAAAGTCATTCAAAAACCTATATATTTCTATCATAGTGCTAGAGATGGAACCCAGAGCTGGGGCATTCAAACACCCTACACCCGAGCTACCTTCTAGCCCTACCCTCGGTGAATTTGATAAGCATCAAGATCAAACTGCCTAAAAAAAAAAAAAAAAAAAAAAAAAAAAGATCAAACTGCCTGTGTTCAATGAAAAAGACTAAAAATTGTTACAAATTCATTAGCCCAGAAGCTGACACACTGTGATATTGTTTGTAGAATTATTTAAGAGTATTCAACAACAGGAAGTAAGGGAAATGAATAAAGAAGGGAGCAGCCTACAGGACACAGGAAACTGGGTGAGTCAGTTGGCTAACCCTGGGAGGAAGGCAGGGAGGTGTGGAGAGGCAGCTACACTCATGAGTCACAGCTAGACACCAGTTGTTGACTACCATTGTGGTCCTTCTGTTTTTCACTTGGGACAAACAGATGAAAGGCTGAGTGCATTAAACCTGAGTGAGTCACACTCCTGACTGAGTCAGGTTTTTCATCTTACTTCCAAAACAGAGAAACAAGTTACTTGTCTGTACCAGTGCTTTTTACTTTAGTACTTTTAACTTTTCTAAAACAATTTTCTACATTTGATTTCCATTTACTTAGAGAAATATCCAGATGGCTAAGTTTTTAAAAAAGGAAAGGCAAGTAAAACTCTCTCCAAATCCCATTATCCACAGACCACAACCAGACTCTTCCCCATATTCACAGACATAATGCATCCACATTTCTTTAAGACCAAGCAGTATAGATACTGCTTGCAGCCAAATTCTGTTTATTATAATAAACGTCCTTCCAAAATACTACAGTGCAACTACAGTTCTACATTACAACTTGTCATCTGTTTTACTGCACCTGAATCCCCTAGTCTATCTAACGGTTCTGTTGAGGTCAGCGTTCTGTCCATGCCCTCCTTTCCACATGGCCTCCACACCCAGCCAGTAGTGTGGGATCACAGTCATCATCCCTTTTATAGGCACAGAGAGGGGGCAGCTGCATCACTTTCCTCCGCCCTGATACATGAGAGTGGGGTCCAGGTACCTTTCAGGAAGCTGGAGAAGCCAAGAACCCAAGGCAGGTGAAGGACCAGGACACTGTCCCAAATTGGGCCAGCATGCCACCAGCTGTAAGCCACGTTCACATGGAGTGACCTGCAGTCTCTGTGGCATTCATCCACATCACCCAAACTAATGCCCAGCAGGTTCTGATTCCACCAGTGGAGTCAAAGACAGAAATTCAGTGAGAAGAAAGAAAACCTCGGCAACACCTCAGTAGTGAAACGTCTTATTTTTATTGAGAACATCTCAAGTCCTTTGTCTAGGTGTGACAGCGTCTCATGCTCAGCTCCAGCTGGCCCTAGTGTGAGAGAAAGCTCATGCAGGCTGTAATGTGTGTTATATACATAAATATACATACGGAGAACACTGAGGATTGTATCTTAGCAACAAGTTTCTTGGCTGAATTACATTCATATAGTGTCCAAATTCTAAAATCAAATTAAAAGCATATAACCCAAAGCCTGAAAAAGCAAACAGCTTAGGGGCTTCCTTATTAACATTCCGTAGACTGTGCTTTTAACCACTGTGCTCCCTTTAGGAGGAAGACCTCAGCTCCTTCCACACCATCCCCCCACTGTAAACAAGGAAGGGCAGGGTGCTGCCCACGGGAGATACTTCTTCAGGAAATGAAAGCCCACGCACTCGCACAGCCAAGTCATGGTTACAGCAGACCCCAGTCAGGGGTTTCCCTGCTTCCACTCTCAGCCTCCAGGGAACTCAGGACTGCAGGTTGGACAATGGGGTAGCGCAAAATCCCTCCTTGTACACAGGGAGACTGATTGTCACAGGACATGTTAGGCAACAAGGACACAGGGGAACAACACACACCAGACACAAGTCCTCTACCCTTTCCACAAATACAATTTGGAGGTGATTGAAAGGATATTTAATTTCACACACTTTACAAATGGCAAGTCAGGTAATTTTATTTCTCTTGGGTCAGAACAGAGCATATTGAGCTGCTATTTCTGATGTAAAAAGCCTCAGCAGTACCGCACAGTATTCACCTGCACAGAAGCTGGGGTGCAGTCCAGCTCTCCCTGGTGGCATGCACCTCCCTCAGACCTGTCACCTGGTGGGGATGATGGCTGCCTGCCTCGCTGCAAGGAGAACTTGGCTTGAGAACAAAGTGGTGACTATAATTCCCAAGAAGTCAGACCCTTATAAGCCTTAGGTGTATACATTTAAAAACAATTCCTTTTAATCACAGAACAATTTCCCAAACAGGAAAGGGTGATGGAAGATACGATGCAGAATCAAATCTGTGGCTTTTGGCATCCTTGCTGGAGAAGAGCAGGCAGTCATGGTGACTAGAGATGGCCAATGTCCATCAGGTCACCGGCCATCCCTGGGCCCTGACCCCTGGGAGAACCCCAGATCTACACAGATTGTGCCATCTTCATCCCCTCCCAGTGCTGACCTCCCCACTGAGCAAAGCTGTTCCTGAACCATCCTGCGGAACAGGGTCTTCATGGAAGTAACACCCTGGGGTTCACTGACCTGACAGAACTGACCACCCCGTTGGCAAGATATCCTTAACACTTATGGGTTTTGGTTTTTTTGTTTTGGTTTTTCTTCAAAATGTCAAGTCTCTGGCTGTGTCTGGTTTTCTGTGAAGTCTCTTAGGTGTGGATCTAGGACGTGGGATGCAGCTGAGCAGTGATGTGACAGATGACGTTGGGCATGTCCTGACTGCTCTCGTGCAGGAAGCCTTGCTTCTTCTTACTGCAGCCGAGTTGTCTCTGTGGTCCTGTCTTGGAGGCAGAGGGGGCCAACACTCTGCCCTCTGGTCCCCAGGCCACCTTTATCCCTCTCTCCAGTGCCCAGGCCCTGAACTCGTGGGACATCTGCTTCTGAGATGGGGTCCACTGTGCACCATTGCGCTACAACCCAACAGAAGGAACAGCCAGGCATACTGAGTAGTTTTATTTTTATGTATATGGAACATATTTGGACTTTATACCCAAAATCCACATATTTCTCAAAAACTAAGTCCATCTCCCAATCCCCACTACAAAAAATACAATTTATGGAGCCAGGAATAAAAGATTTTTCTGGAGCATACTCAGGAGGGCAGCAGCACCACCAGGTATCTTCCTATGGTTGTAAAGATAACCCTATCCATTTGATTGAAATGAGACTGCATGGTGGCACATGGGCCCAGGACCCTGCCAGCCAGGGGCCGCCACCCCAGCTGCAGAGAAGGCTGGTGTGTTTGTCCTGGACCTGGATGTGCGCAGACCGGGCCTCTGATCCTGAGGCACAGGGATGCCACCATGGAGGTGGCAGGCCCCTGCAGGCCCAGGGAGAGTGCTGAGAACTCCAGGCTGTTGCCTGGTAGTCTCCAGATATCTGTGTGAAGCTCGGTGCCACAGTCATCAGTGCCTTAGTGGTGGCCATGGTGGTTATGCTAGAGGGTGAGGTCTGTACCTCTGCTCCTGGCCACCAATCTCTCCTCCCAAAATCACTGGAGTGCAGATAGCACTGAGCTGGTGGTGGCACACACACCATTCCTGGCTCCTCTAACCCTGAGTGGAAGCTACAAGGCACCTGCTGCAAGTCCCTAAGCACAGGTCCCGGCGGTCACCCAGGTTCCAACCGCTGGGCCATCCTGGGCACTGGTGTGCTGAGCCACGTTCCAAGGCCCCCTCACAATGCCAGCAGCACCTGAGCTCTACCTTGTGACATCACTGCCTGGACTGCCCCTCGCAGCGTCACACCATCTAGCCAGCCCCAGCCTGCGTGCTTTTTAGTTTTCAAATATGTCTTTGATAAAGCTAAAAACAGTAACTTTAAAACATGCCTCTGCAGCATGCTCCAAGGATGAGAGACTACCAGGCGATTCTGGTTCCATCCTGGGCGTCCCTGGGCCGTAGTCTTTCCCATGTGCAGGTCCCCAGGAGGGGTGGAGAAGTTCAGAGACAAGTCCTGTCAACAACGCCACCAAAGGAATGGCCAGGACAAGGCCTCTGGATGGGTCTAATCTGGAATTGTTTGGAAGTCAAGTAAGTTTCCATGATCTGACCCCACTGGAACATGGGGTCCCTAGTGGGGCTGTGGCAGCAGACACAGCACCACCACGGGGGCCTGGCCTATGCCTCAGGGTCACGTGACAGCATGCCAGTGTTGCCAGGGCATTAAAACCTACTGTGTGACTAATGGTGAAGAACGCAGGTCCAGGCCTGTGCAGGACGAGCGTGCCAATCTCAAGGGCCCCAAGCCCTGCCTCCACCTTCCTACCCTACTCCATGTAGAAACCCTTTTGCAACTAAAATAATGTGGCATAAAGTGACCTGACATAATTACTTATTTTATAAACCACGTTCCTAACTCTGAATAAATTATTTATTCAAGAATTTCACACAAAGTAGTTTCTATTTTCCTAAACTTAAGGAAGCCCTACTCAGTAGAACTCAATGTCTAACGTAAACTGAGGTTGGAAGCAGTCACTGGGTAATGGGCAGGGGAGCGTGGGGCCAGGGACAGCAGGTGGTGGCGCTGGGCCTATCCCCATGCCTACCCGCACACCCAGATTCAGAGTGAGATGCCCTGCACCCCACGTGCCCCTGCGCCTGCCCTGGTCCAGGTGCGGGCCCCGGGGCCCCCACACGCCCGCCCGGTGTGCGCCTGTCCAGTTCAGCTATGAGCCTCAGGGGTCACTGCCAGGAGCCACCAGTGTCAGGGCGCGAGTGAGAACTGGTCCTGCTCTGTGGGCTTCTCCACCCAGGCGCCCAGCCCTGCCTTGATGAAGGCGGTGAACAGGCGGGCCTTGGCGGCCTGGTACTCCCGCGCTGCCAGCTTGGATTCGTGGTACGTGGTGGGCTTAGTGATCCTGCTGCGCTGCAAGTGCGGGGGGACCTGCAAAAGGACAATGGTAAGTGGGGGAGATGTGGCTGCTGGGACAGCAACAGAGGAAACACACCCAGGATGATGCCCGGACATGGTGATTAATACCGCACTGGCTGTGTGTGTGTGTGTGTATGTGCGCGCATGCGGGGGGAGGGGGGACTCCAGAAGAAGGTACTTTCCCATCCACAGGGAGTGGCAACCTGAGGCAGTACTGGTGGCCATCACTGCCAGCAGCAGCTCAGGGCCAGTCAGTGCTGCAGACCTCAGGCCTGGGGTTAGGCTCCTGGGAAACCACAGGTGCCAAACTACCTGAAGCACACAGGTCTCCGCGCAGACCCTGAGGCCACTGCGGCAGCGCACATGGCCATCTTGGCAGGGACAGGACAGCTTCTATTCAAGTCTGCACACCAGCATTCCCTGTTGGCCTCCATTAGCACAGGCCATAAACAGGGGTAAGAATGAGTACGAGCTGATGACACCTCATTTACTCTGAGGTTTTATTTGGAGAAAAGAGGGCCTGCAGCTAAAACCACAGTTTTAAAGCCCTGGATGGAGGGCTCCGCAGAACCCTAGGGACTGTGCTTAGAAGCCTGGGGTGTCTGGTCCTCTCTTTATGGTGTCGCCATCTAAGTGGCAGAGCAGCTTCTTCCTTGCTCAGGCTAGCTCTCGGACATCACTGAGGGACATGCTGAAGGGTTTGTCCTCAGCCAATGGCACTAATGGGAGAAGGTGGCACGGGGAAGTGGGGCCAAGTGGGAGGCAGGGGCCCTAGAAGGGGACACTGAGGCCCGAGCCCTTCCTCTCTCATGTTCACTTCTCATCAAACACAAAGGTGAGCATCTCTGCTCACCATACACCTGGTCATGGGGTTCATTTCACCGCCTCTTGGCAGTGAAGGCTAAGCCCCCACTCAGAGCACTGGGGTGAGGTGGCCATGGGCTGGCATCTCTGAGATGGAACAGAAACAAACCTCCCTTCTCCCAGGTGTTTTATCACAGTGACAGAAAGCTGAGGGACTTGGGAGTTTGCGCTGAGAAGTGGGGGTTGCTGCTGTGACTATACCCACACTATGGTTCAGAAGCCTCTGGCACTGATCTGTAAGGAAATCCAGAGGAGGGTGGGAAGCAGCGGAGAGAAACCTTGAAGTTGGGCTTACTGAATGATTCTGGCCCAGCCTCGGAAGGAGAAGGCCAACAGAAACGCAGACAGCAAAGGGTGTGCTGATGTTTCAGATGGAAATGAGAACAATACTGGGACCTGCACCATGGGTCGCTGGCATCACACTTTGGCAAAGAAGTTGTGGACATCTGCCCATGTTGAGACGCTGTGGGAGGCACATTTACAGGTGACAGACTGGTCCACTGGACAGAGGAATGTTCAATGTAGCACAATGCTCAGGTTGTTGCCTGGCTACTATTGGCTATCTAGATTTGCAGTGAGAATCAGGAGGAAAAAGCAGAGCAGAAAAACTTGAAAAATGTACAGCTTGGGCAGAAAAGGAATTATTTGTTTGAAGGTATAGCTAAGGAGGGTACAGTTGTAGACAGTAACAGCATTATAAAAAGGAACGTGCTGGTCACACCCCTAGAAGAACAGCTACTGAGGATCACAAGTTTGAAGTCAGCCTGGGAAATTCAGTGAGTGAGATGTCTCAAAATAAAATTTTAAAAAGGGCTGGGGATGTAGCTCAGTGGTAGAACACTTACTTAGCATGTACAAGGGCCTAGTTCAAATCCCAATACAAAATAAATACATTTTTAAAAAGCTAACTACTTTGCTGTTGCTCTGAGACAACAGAAAAGATGTCTTCAGGGTGTCTTAGGAAGTGGCAAAACCCTATACATCACAGATGCAAAGATTTGTGTTTGAGAAGATAGCCCCGGAGCACCTGCTCACACCTGGTAACCTAGGGAACTGTTTTCCAGAATTTCATTTCCTGGGACTCATTTCCCCAAGTTCAGTCAGTAAGGCACTCAGAACCTACTGCAGCCATGATCTAAGTGGGCCTGGCTGCTGCTCAAGGTGGTGGCAGACTATGATGTTGCTTGCTTGGTGCAGGTTCTGCAGGCATGCAGAACATGACTTACAGGTTGTGGAGGAGCTCAGAGGAAGGCCTGGGAGGCCAGGCAGTGTGTGATGGTGTCAGATCAAGGCCCCGTGGTAGCCCTGGGCAATGAGTGTGGCTATGAGAGTAAACCTAAAGTTGCAATGGAGACCCCAGGCAAGTGGAGATGCCAAGGGCACAGATGTCTGCTAAGGGAAGCTGCAAGCAACAAGCAGAGCCAGCCCAAGAGAAAAGTTATATGGGCTGCAGCTAGCAAGGCCATAATATCACCACACTTGCCCATCCTGCACCTACAGGAGTTCATGTTTGCCCTGTTTCAGTCTTGCTTCAGTCTTGCTATGGTCTGATCTTTCCTCTCCATGTGCTCATTCTTCATTTCTGAAGTTGCAGTGTTTCCTCTGTACCAGTCCCACGACTGTGTGCTACAAGTACATAACCTTCTTTTTGATTTTCATAGGCACTCACAGCTTAAAGTTTACCTTGAATCTCACAGGAGACTCCAAACTTGGACTTTTAAGCAATGCTAGCACAGTTAAGAGTTTGGGGACTCTTGACTTAATGGGGGCTTACTGTATTCTGCGTGGTGAGATGGACATGATCCTTTGAGGGCCAAGGGAGTACTGTTATAGTTTGGATTTTAAACATCCCCCAAAGGCCCACTTGTTAAAGGTTTAGCACCCAGACATTATGGGAGCTGGAGAAAACTCTGGCAGGTGGAGCCTTGAGGAAGACAGTGAATCACTGGGGGCACCTCCTTGAAGGGATGTTGGGACTTGGCCCCCTTCCCTCCTTGTGCTTCATCACAACCCCCTTCTCTGATGGTGGCCTCGCCACAGGCTCAGAGGCAATGCGTGACTATGGACCAAACCTTAGAAACCATGAGCCCAAAAAAACCTTTCCTTCTTGGAGTTGGTTTTTTTTTTTTTTTTTGTCTTTTTCCTTTTTATCGGTACCGGGGATCGAATTCACGACTGCCTGCTTTCAAGGCAGGTGCTTATGCCGCTGAGCTAAATCCCCAGCCCCTCAGAGTTGGTTTTTTAAAGGTACTCTGTCATAGTGATGCAAAGCTGATGGTCACACTTCCACAGCAGACCCGGGTGGTGGGTCTTGGATTCCGCAGCACAGAAGGAGGAAGCTGCCATCAAAACAGTTTTACATTTGTAAAGCCAGGGTCCCCTGTTTAATCTAAAAACAGTCTTAAGAAACACAGAGATTTTCAAATGACGCTTTAAGGAGGCTGCGTGTGATGACATGGTGATGGAGACCACAGGAGGAACAGGAGGGATGAAGACGGACACGCTGTGGGGAGGTGAGCCGGCATAGCGCCGGGGAGGGCACCTCAGTACCTTGCCGTGCACACGCATCCAGCGACAGTACAATGCGTGCTTACACAGGCGCGACGCGCGGCCCAGCTCATCCTTCCCTGTCGTGGCATTGATGACTTCGATAGTGGAGTCCCCCACTGTCCAGTTGACACTGAAGTTGGGCGCCTTCCCTGGCTGCCGTGCCTCTGCATTGCTGATCCCTGAAATGGAGCAAACATAGAAGGTAACATGAAGCCATGTCCACCCCAGGGAAGGTGTGCCCAGAACAGAGGTAAACGTGGCCACAGTGTGTACTGCAGACTCCATCTCTTAATATGTGTATTTATTTAAAAGCTAACTGACCACCAAAGCAGAAATAATAATGTGGAATTTTTAACATATAAAAACATAAATGTATGACAACAATGCCACAGAGGCGGGGGCGGGGGAGCGGACTTAAAGCACGAATTGTAAGGTTCCTATACTAGAAGTAAAGGATGTAAAATCATGTGAAGGGAGACCACAGTAAGTTCAGGATGGATACTAAACTCTAAAAATTTCTACTAAGTTAGCAAGACAGATTTACAGCTAAAAAGTCAAGAAGGCTTTATTAAAATGGTATCATAAAATACAATCTGAAAGTAAAAAAAAAGGAAACAACATATGGAACAAACAAAATGTGTAGTAAATGATGGATTAAAACCTAACACTATCAATTATCACAATAAATGTAAATGGTTCAAGCCCCTCACAGAAAAGGCAGAGATTTTAATTAATGTGTGTGGAAGGAGGGGTACCTACAAACAACATACTTCTAATAAGAAATAGTTTAAAATAAAAGGACAACACAAAGACATACTGTATTGTCACTAACCAAAATATAGATGAACACAGCACTACATAAAGAAGATTTCAGAAAAAAGAATATTGTAAGAGTGATGATGATAAAGGATATCAACTCATTAAGACAGACTAGCAATCCTAAATCTCAAAAAAAAAAAAAATGAGCTTAGCTGGAATCTCAAACAAAAACAAAAAAAATTAGACAAAGAGTGAATGAAATATCAATTTTAAAAGGATCAGTTAAGATCAAAGTAGAAAGCACTGAAATATGAAACAGAAAAGGAAAAAAAATCAATGAAACCATTCTTAGAAATGATTGACAGAATTCATAAACTTCTAGCTAGACTGACAAGAAGAGGATGAGGGAGGGAGAGAACAAATCACTAATGTAAGGAATAAAAAAAATCACTAAAGATAACATAGATATTCAAAATAAAGGAATATTATGAACATTACTATGCCAATATACTTGATAAATTAGAATGGACAAATTTCCTGAAGCATAAATTACCAAGCTCATTCAATAAAAGTCATAAAAGCCTTAAATTAATCATAGAAATTTAATTTGTATTTAGGTATTTTTTCACAAAGATAACATTAAGCCCAATGACTTCACTGGTGAATTACGCCAAACTTTATTTTTTTGGTACTAGGGATTGAACTCACAACCTTGTGCTTGCCAGGCAGGTGCTTATGCCACCGAGCTAAATCCCTGGCTCACCAAACATTTTCTAAAACATTAACATCAACTCTAAATCAACTTCTCCAGAAAGCCAAATGTGAAGTGTGATTGAGTATTTCTGGCACTCAATCTGAAGTGGTACAGAGAAAATGAGATAAGAAGGAGACAAAGGATGAGGCCTTTAATGCGGGCATGGGAGAGCTTTACCGGGCAGGGGCTACAGAGGTTCTCAAACGAGAACAAAGAAGTGGGACTACTTTTATCAGTTCTGGCTGGGGGAGGAGTTTGGGAGGAGGGCAAGATGACATAGTAACCACTGATTTGAAGGAGTATCTGCCTTCAACAGGAGACAGAAAGATTTACTGGGTGCTGGAGGTGGAGGCTTAGGTGTTTGAAGAGTCTTGGGATTGGAAAGGGCTTAGCACACACACAGAAAGGGAGCTGGAGGTTTATCTCTGGAATGAGAAGGAGAATATAGAAGTTACTCTTGGAGAGAGAAGCTGTTTCTCTGGGCCCAGTACCAAGTTGGGAAAACATAGCTAAACCCCAAGCTAGCAGAACCTATCACAGTGAATCCCGATTCATTTTATGTTGATGACACTAAAAAAAGCACACTCCATCATCCTTACAGAGCATTATATCATAGCAAAAATTCTACCATAATTCCCGCAACTTGGACTCAACACTATGTGAAGAGAATAGTACATACTGACCAATGAAAGGACAGCCCAGGAATGTAGACTGGTTTAGTATTTTTTTTAAAAAATCAGTGCCATCATATTAACGTTTTACAAAATAAACACTACAAAATAAACAAAATAAAGTCCATCTCACAGAAGAAAAAAAAGAATCTGACAAAAATCTAGCATCCATTCTTGACTAAATACAGCGGTACCTCGGCTCATGAACCTGATTCTTTCCACAACTCTGGTTGCAAACTGAACTGGATGAGAGCCAAATCAAATTCAGTGGTTAGGTTCAATGTTCAGCTTCACAGGGAAATTTGATTTGATTTGGTTCTCACCCAATTTGGTTTATGACAGAATCATGGAAAAAATTAAAACGTTTGTGGACCGAGGCACCACAGTACCTTTTGCAGACTAAGGGTAGAAGGAATTCCCTCAAACTGATAAAGGCATTGATGAAAAACCTATAGCTAATAACCACACTTACTGGTAGAAGACTAGATGCTGCTTCCTGAATGCACACACAAGGCCAGGCTTGTACCCCAGCTATCCCCCCAACATGGTCACAGGAGGCCCCACCCAGAGCAGGAGTGAAAGGCAGCTGGACTGTGAAGCAAGACATAGATAATGAACCACATGACCACTGATAAGTAAAACCCAAAGGGATCTACTAAAAAGCTACTAGGACAAGCAGTACTACAGATTAGCAACAAAAAACTGGATATCTAAATAGAAGTATGACATTTAAAGCAGCATGAGTATTAAACACTTTGAGACACATCTGACACAAGCTGTAAAAGATATATATGCTGTAAGCCGAAAACAGTGCAGAGAGAAGGGGAGGAGGCATAAATGATGAGAAACACACCACCCATCATGGGAAGACTGAAAACCGCTGGCGTGTCAGATCTCTCTGAACTGACCTACATTCAGCAGTTCCAGTCAAATTCCAAGTGTGTGCTGTGCAGAAACTGATAAGCAGATTACAAGTGCTCATGGAATCAAAGGGCCAGGGTCTGTGTATCTGGGCCCTGCCCCATGACATCACAGCTGGAGCACAAACTGGACCTCTCATCGCTTCTGTAACTACAGTGGGCATGACAGTTCTGTCAGAATTAAACCATAGGGGTCGACATAAGATAGTACTAAGAGGGCTGAAATGCAAACTAGAGGCTGGGAGGAAACATTTTTAATTCATTTATTTGATACAGGATTTATATTCAGAAAATAAAAAGATAGTTATTAAGACTTAGTAACAAGAAGTTACCTCAATGAAAATGTGCAGAAGTTTTGACACCATTATTGAGGAAGATGTAGGACTGGCAAATTCACACGTGAAAAGCTAGTTGACTTCCCCAGTGAATAGGGGAAAGCAAATTAAGACACAGACTGGCAGCTTCTGCAGAGTTCAGCATGTACCATCTTATGGCTCAGCCCTCCGCTGCCAATGGAGACGTGTGTGGATGCAGCACTGACGAGGAGACACCAATGTGACCTTTTCTCCTCCACAGCTGCTTTGTAACCATCAGGGTCTTTCTTAGTCACTTTTCTCATCCCTGAGACATGATACTGACACCCAAAACTCAAGGAGAGGTTTATTTTTGCCTCGCAGCCCGTAGCTGGCTGCTCCAAGGCCAGGCGGCATGGCAGAGAGGCCTGGTGGAGGACAGCCGCTTACAGCATGGGTTTATGTCCCAGCAGGGACATAAACCTTTTCAGACCATGCCCCTTCCAGCCAGACCCCACCTCCTCACAGGAAGCCAGCTATGAGTTCCAAGATCGTCACCTTCCGGCCTATGAGCCCGCCTATGAGCATGTGAGACTCTCGGGGCACACCGAGATACCAAACATAATAGGACTAGAGTGGAAACAACCTAAATGTCCACAAACAGAAGAACCCACTGGACCTTCCCTGCTGTACTGATTAGCAGCAAGAGGGGTGAGCCAATGACAGGCACATGGGCCAGCTGCAGAATCAGAGGGCTCTTCAGGGCTGTGCCATTTTGAGAACACCCAGTTTCTTTGGATATTTGTTGAGATAAACCCACTTTCCTCTGAAAATATTCTTCTGAGTGTCTCTGGTGGGATACTCCACCCTGAGCTGGAACTGCTCCTTCTCAGGTTAGTGTGGCTGACAGGGTGGGCAGGGTCTCTACTTTGTGGGTAGAGGGGCAAGTGTCCACTTTGGTCGGAAGGTGGGGTGAATCTCTGACCCTAATGGGATTGGCTCTTTCACGTACCAATGACTAATGCTTGTATATATCATCTTCCTTTGTAATTCCATGACTACTCTGTGACAAAACAAAAGACCATTGCTGAACGACACTTAAAATGCTAGGACAGCAACATTGTGCACTAAAGCTAAATGGTCAATTAACTACTAAAATAGTAAGACCCTAAAAGAACAATTTTAAAAAATATTTCAAGCTAAATAAAGTGCCAGCTTTAGCAAAAATGGAGTGAAAGAAGCAAGACGAGAACAGCTAGCCCAAGGCTCCAATGTGAGCCATATGCTTTTTCTGGGGCAGAAAGCCCCGAGTGGTCATGAGTGAGTTCTCCACAAGTCCCTGGGGCCACACACTGGGGCTGACACCGCCAGGCTGCTCATTTTCCTGGGCTGCAAAGCAAGAACTAGGGTAATGAGCTGATCCCAGGGACTGTGCAGAAACCAATAAAAGCAGGAGCGAGTCGGCCGGTAATGAGCGTCGCCTCAGCTGTTGTAAATTAAGTGTGCTGAATCAGAACTTTAAAAGCAAAAACCCAGAGAAACTGTCAACTGGCCTAAAAACTGACACAGCAAAAGAGTAAGATGAGCTGGCACTGACATTTCGCCCCAGCTTATAGACACTTTCTAATCCATTCCCAGCAGTAGGGCACTAGGAAGTGAATGCATACACCATGACCAGTAATAGGGAGAGTTACTGTGGGCTCCTGTTACACCATTGTAAGTCCTATAGTACATGAGAAAAACCTGTGCAAAAACCAGCTGTAAGGGAAACTGCATGGCACC